ACGCATGATGAGGTAGTAGACAATAGTCTACTCTAATGTGTCAGAATGTTATTCTCTAGCCTGTAGTGGGGTGCTCTGTAGCGAGTACAACCCATCTAGGGTTTGCTATATGTATCCTCATTGCTGCTAGTGAAACCACACTTCTTTTGCCTAAACTCTCTCTTGCCTAGCTAGGGTTCTCCTAGCTATGGCTCCTAATTCTATCACTTATCTTCACATGGTGTCAGAGCGGTTACGCTCATGGCCTGTGGGCCCCACTCGATGCTTCCGCTGCTTTCCTATCCGTCGCGCGCCATGGGGCGCGCGACGCCTTATTTTTCTTCCCGCCGCGCGCTCGGGGCGCGCGGCGGTTTTCTGCTCGCCGTGCGCACGGAGCGCGCGGCGGTTTCCTGCCCGCCGTGCGCCCCGGGGCGCGTGGCGGTTTCCCCCCGTCGGTTCCCGCCCATCGCCTGCTGCAGCTCGCCCGTCGCCTGCAGCAGACCCCCCCGTCGCCCCCGCTGCCCCGTCGCGGCGCCTCGGGAGACGCGCGCGACGCCTGCTGCCCCGTCGCAGTGCCCTGGGGAGCCGTGCGCGGCCCCCCCCCGCTCGTCGCAGAGCCCTGGGGGGCCATGCGCGGCCCCGCTGCCTCGTCGCGGCGCCCTGGGGAGCCGCGCGCGACCCCGCATCCACGTCGCGGCGCCCTGGGGAGCCGCGCGCGACCCCCCGCTGCCCCGTCGCGGTGCCCTGGGAAGCCGCGCGCGCCCCACCCGCTGCCCCGTCGCGTTGCCCTGGGGAGCCGCGCGCCCTCCCCCGGAACGCCCCCGAATCGCCCCTTCCCCCCTCCCATTCTACCTCTTTTAGGGTTTGGGGGTGGCGAGTGTGGGGGTGGCGCCTATGGGGGTGCTGGCTGTGTGCGCCGTCCCCTGCTCCTCCTCCTCCTCCGTCTCCCGCTGCTGCAGCTGCCGCTGAGGGGGGTGGGTGTGTGGGAGCCGAAGGAGTGGTGCTAGGGGGGTGACGTGGGAGTGGAGCTAGGGTTTGAACAGGGGGTGTGTGTAAGGGGGGTGGGACGGTCGGGGGAGGTTGAGCGGAGGCAGCCGTCTTGTCGTCAGCAATACCTATAGTCCGGGGCGCTGTTCCGGTAGCCCAGTCGTAGCCAGCTGCGCCAGTCGCCCGTGGGTCCGTTGCTCGTCTGCCGCACTTAGCCGCGGAGCCAGTTACTCCTGTATTCCGGGGCGCTGTTCCGGTAGCCACTGTGCCAGTTTGACTCCTGTTGCCCGTGTGTCTGCAGCTTCAGCCGTCGCCTCTTATCTCCTCTCCTCCTACAGTCTCGCCTCCTCCTCCTCACTTGCCCCTTGTTAAAGCCTCTAGCTTTGCTTGCATTTGTGAACCTGCTCTGTGCTTGCTCATTGTACTGATTACACCCCACTTTGGCTATGGGGGTGTGTCAGAATGTTATTCTCTAGCCTGTAGTGGGGTGCTCTATAGCAAGTACAACCCATCTAGGGTTTGCTATATGTATCCTCATTGCTGCTAGTGAAAACCCTCTTCTTTTGCCTAAACTGTCTCTTGCCTAGCTAGGGTTCTCCTAGCTATGGCTCCTAATTCTATCACTTATCTTCACATAATGAACTAACCTAAAAGAAAGGCCATCAAATGTGCATGGACAACCAATGTGATGCATTGATCAGTTGGGTCGGTTTGCGCATACGTGGGGAGTGTACCAGGCAGAGTTGAAACGCTGATATCTTGCAAAATGTATGGAACGAGACAGAAACGCATGACGAGGAAATAGACAATAGTATACTCTAATGAAATAACCTAAAATAAAGGGCATCCCATGCGCATGGCCAGCCAAAGTGATGCATTGATCAGTTGGGTTGGTATGCGCATGAGTGGGGAGCGTACCAGGCACAGTTGAAACGCTCATATCTTGCAAAATGTATGGAACGAGACAGAAACACATGACAAGGAAATAGACAATAGTATACTCTAATGAACTAACCTAAAATAAAGGGCATCCCATGCGCATGGCCAGCCAAAGTGATGCATTGGTCAGTTGGGTCAGTAAGCGCATGAGTGGGGAGCGTACCAGGCAGAGTAGAAACGCTCAAATCTTGCAAAATGAATGGAACGAGACAGAAGCACATGACGAGGAAATAGACAATAGTATACTCTAACAAACTAACCTAAAATATAGGGCATCCCATGCGCATGGCCAGCCAAAGTGATGCATTGGTCAGTTGGGTCAGTAAGCGCATGAGTGGGGAGCGTACCAGGCATAGTAGAAACGCTCAAATCTTGAGAACTATTGTGGATTCATACATCGAAAAAGGCTTCAAACGTATGGAACGAAACAGAAACGCATCACGAGGAAGTAGAAAGTAGTCTACTCTAATGAACTAACTTAAAACAAAGGGCATCCTATGCGCATGGCCAGCCAATGTGATGCGTTGATCAGTTGAGTCGGTGTGCGCATATGTCGAACGTACCAGGTAGGGTTGAGACGCTCATATCTTGCAAAATGTATGGAATGAAACTGAGACACTTGACGAAGAAGTAGAAAATAGTATGTTCTAATAACCTAACCTACATGAAAGGGTATCTAATACGTATGGCCAGCTAAAATGATGCATTGATCAGTTGGGCCGGTATACGCATACGTGGGGAGCGTACTAGGCAGAGTTGAAACGCTCATATCTTGCAAAATGTATTTAATGAAATAGAATCGCATGACGAGGAAGTAGAAAATAGTATACTCTAATGAACTAACCTAAAATATAGAACATCCAATGCGTATGGCCAGCCAAAGCGTATGGCCAGCTAAAATGATGCATTGATCAGTTGGGTCGGTTTGCGCATCCGTGGGGAGCGTACAAGGCAGAGTTGACACGCTCATATCTTGCAATATGTATAGAAGGAATTATAAACGCACGATGAGGAAGATAACAATAGTCTACTCTAATGAAATAACCTTAAATAAAGGCCATCCAATGCATATGGCCAGCCAATGCGATGCATTGATCGGTTGGGTCGCTTTGCGCACAGGTGGGGAGCGTACCAGGCAGAGTTGAAACGCTCATAGCCTGCAAAATGTATGGAACGAATTAGAAACGCATGAGGAAGAAGTAGAAAATGGTATACACTTATGAACTGACCTAAACAAAAGGGCATCCAACGCGTAAGACCAGCCAAATTCATACATTGATCACTTGGGTCGATACGCGCATATGTGGGGAGCGTACCAGGCAGAGTTGAAACGCTCATATCTTGCAAATGTTATGGAATAAAACAGAAAAACACGACGAGGAAGTAGAAAGTAGTATACTCTAATTAAATGACGTAGACGAAAGGGCATCCAACGCGTATGGCCAGCCAAAGTGATGCATTGTTTAGTTGGGTCGGTACGCACATACGTGGGGAGCGTACCAGGCAGAGTTGAAACACTCATATCTTGCAAATTTTATGGAATGAAACAGAAACACACAACGGGAAAGTAGAAAATAGTATACTCTAAAGAATTTACCTAAACGAAATGGCATCCAACGCGTATGGCCAGCTAAAGTGATGCATTGATCAGTTCAGTCGGTACGCGCATACGTGGGGAGCATACCATGCAGAGTTGAAACGCTCATATCTTGCAAACGTTATGGAATGACACAGAAACACATGATGAGGAAGTAGAAAATAGTAGACTCTAAATTGACCTGAATAATAGGGCATCCAACGCTTATGGCCAGCCAAAGTGATGCATTGATCAGTTGGGCCGGTACGCGCATACGTGAGGAGCGTACCAGGCAGAGTTCAAACGCTCATATTTTGCAAAATGTATGGAATAAGAGAGAAACGAACGACGAGGAAGTATTAAATAGTATACTCTAATGAACAAATATAAACTGAAGGGCATTCCCGGTATGGCCAGCCAAAGTGATGCATTGATCAATTGGGTCGGTTTGCGCATACGTGCGGAGCGTACCAGGCAGAGTTGAAACGCTCATATCTTGCAAATGCATGGAACGAATTAGAAGCGCATGATGAGGAAGTAGAAAATAGTATAATATAATCAACTAACCTAAAAGAAAGGGCATCCAATTCGTATGACCAGCCAATGTGATGCATTAAACAGTTCGGTCAGCATGTGCATAAAACGCTCATATTTTGCAAAATTATGGAATGAAACAAAAAAGCATGACGAGGAAGTAGAAAATAGTTTATGTAAGAGTACGACGGCTTATGCCAGCTATGCATGCTTGCCTTTACTTTATTATGCTACTTCTAGCTTAGGTTTATTTTACGCATCCATGAATTGCTTGATTTCCTAGGCTAGGTGCTTTCCTATATTTTATTATAGTTATAGCACCGACCTAGGTTGCGTACACCGAATTCAGGGCTATTCGGTTGCCACCGAATTGCCTTCTACCGAATTCGGGAAGGGTCTGTTCGGGACGCTTCGCGACCCCCAGAACCTTCGCGTAACATTTGGTTACTGCCCCTTGTGTCGAGCCTATATATAGCCTCGTGTTGTACCCAGGTGATCATTCAATTCGATTCAATTCAAACTCTCTTTTCTGAGCTCGATCCTAGATCCTCACACTTGGTATCAGAGCCTGTTTACTCGCGAAGTTTTTTCGACCACTTAAACCTAGCTTTTAAAACCGCGGGGGTGACGACAAGAGGCGCCGATTTTGGGTACGTAAACCAGTTCCGTGCTATTCTTTAACGTCCCCCTCGAACCGGTTTTCGAATCCTCCTCAGGTTCATTGGCGAAAAAGTTGGAATTTCGACCGTCCGATCGATTCGAATCTCAACGGCCCTGAGAATTTCGCCCAAAAAAGTTGGAATTTGGAGCGTCGGATCGATTCTCTTCTCAACGGCCGGGATCAGACGCGAATTTCAATTAAGGGAGAATTACGTGGCGTACGGATCTAGCGCTCGTCATTTCTACAGTCGAGTTTGTTCGCAGTAAGTTGACCAGCGCCTAGAATGCAATTGTTTCCGTCGCAAATCTTCCTGTAAATCGCCAAATGGAGGAAAATGGTGAAAATTCCGTACGAAAAATTACGGAGTTACGCACCGACGTGGACCAGATGCGAGCGGCACTCCAGCGAATAGAGGAGCTTCTCGCGAACCAGTCGGCAGCCGCCACGGCAGCAGCGAACGTAGCAGCGAATGCAGCAGCGACGGCAGCAGCAGCAGCGGCGACACCGACACTTCACCAAGCAGCAGCCACAGTGAATCTTGAGGCGGCACGTCCAAGGCTACCGGAGACGTTCAATCCGAATGCAAGAGACACCGACGTCCGTCGATTCATTGCTACACTCGAAATTTACTTCGAGGCCGTTGGCTGTACGACCCCGACACACGATGCAATGCGGATTCGGCTCGCAGCGACACTTTTGCAAGGCCCGGCGCTCGAATGGATTTACAACAGTAAGGAGATCCGAGGCGAGGGGTCATGGACGCAGTTTCGGGCAGCTTTAATTCAACGCTTCGAACCGATTAATTCGAGCTACATGGCGCGGCAGCAGATTCATCGGCACAAATAGTACAGCAGTGTAACACAGTACACGCAGCAGATGGAGAGCCTCTTCAACCGAATTACCGACCTGACCGAAGGGGAAAAAATCCAAGCGTATACTGAGGGGCTAAAAATGGAAGTCCGCAGACAAGTGATTGCTGCGAACTACAACAACTACCGCGACATGGTGTGTGCAGCAGAGAGATTTGATGCGCTGACGCGAGGTCAACCCGAGACACGACGCCACGTGCCGAACAGATCATTCGACACGAAGCGATCGGCACCACCCACGACCGCCGATCCGATGGATATCGACAAGATCGACGCGAAGCAGCGGCCGACAAAATACGAGACATGTGAATTTTGCGGTGCAGTAGGACATCGACTCTTGGCGTGTTGGAAAATGAAGAAGGCACGAGCAGAGCTGCAGGGCAACAACAGTGCGGCACCCTCGAAGTCAAAAAACGTGGCGACTTCGGAGCGGGCGAAAAAAGGAGGACATGATGGCGCGAATTTAAAACGCCACGACCGGCCGGCACCAGGGGAAATCGCCGAGACAAATGGAGGCTCCGCAAAACAAGACTCTGCACCGACCGGGAAACTCCAGCCGAACACCCACGAAAGTAAGAATTCGTTAAAGTTATCCTACAAAGATACTTTAACTAAGAATATTACTTCTCGTGATTTTCAAGCCTTCAAGGGAGATTTTGAGGCTAAGACAAAGCCCTTAGAAATTATTCAGGTACCTGAGAAGTTGGGCAAACCACTCCGGAGCGTTGAAAAGGGTCGTGCGTTCCAAGGAGTTAATACTCTCTCCCCGCAGCACAGTGTTAAGGCTCCCCATTGCCCACAGGAGAGGCCTACACAGCTGCAACGGCTTAAGGGAAGGTTCCAGGCCAAGACGAAGTTGAATCGGCCTCGGATAAATCCTCCTAACCTAACTAAGTTGGAAACTGATACGGAGTCAGCAGCTTCGAGCGCAGGATCTGGGGATGATCTCTTCGACGTACCCTATGATCCAGTAAGCGAGACCATCTACGGCTACTCGGAGCGGCAACAACCACTACTCCTCGAGGTTCTCTGCAAAGGGCAACGCCTCCAGGCACTGGTGGACAGCGGTGCATCTCACTCGGTGTGCGATAGCGAGACATTGGAGAAAATCGGAGAGAAGGCGGAGGAGACACAATTCTCTGCAACAATGGTGGACGGTACGAAGCTTCCCATCCACGGCGAGTCAACACTGCAGCTGCAGATAGGGGCGTTAAGGTGGAAGCCGACGTTGCCGATCACGAACATCAAGGGACTAGATTTCATCTTGGGGCGAGATTTCCTGAAGCGGTTCAACCCCGAGATTGATTGGGTCAACAGTAAAGTGTGCATCTACAACAACGGGAAGCGGATAGCACTGCGAAGCTGGACGGATACAGGGGATATTCCTGAAACGACACTGGCACGGTTCGAACGGACGGTGAACGAGAGTAACACGGGTTACCTAGCACTGGTCATGGCAGCAGCAGAGGAGGAGAAGCCGAGTTCGGAGCTACCTGCAGCAGTAAAGGAGGTCTTGGAGCAGTACAAGGATATAATGCCCGACGACCTACCTGCAGGCGTACCTCCAGCACGCACCCACGAGCACGAGATCGTGGAGGAACCAGGTGCGAAACCCGTCTCACGTGCACCATACCGACTGAGTCCGACCGAGCTGACAGACATGAAAAAACAGATCGAGTATTTACTGGACAGACAACTGATCCGCCCATCCACATCTCCCTACGGTGCACCAGTTCTCTTCACCCCAAAGCCAGACGACAGTCTACGGATGTGCATCAACTACCGCGCACTGAACAAACAGACAGTTAAAAATAAATACCCCATACCGCGCATCGACGACTTACTGGACCAACTGCGTGGTGCAACAGTCTTTTCGAAGCTGGACCTACGGTCGGGTTACTGGCAGATCAAGATGGCGGACAACTCGATCCACAAGACGGCGTTCCGTACGAGATACGGCTCCTACGAATACTTGGTGATGCCGTTCGGACTCTGCAACGCACCCGCGACGTTCCAGGCAGAGATGAACCACATCCTCCGGCCCCTGCTGGACGAATGCGTAGTAGTGTACCTGGACGATATCCTCATCTACTCCAAGAACATGAAGGAGCACGTGGAGCATCTGCGGAAGGTGTTCGAGATCCTGCGGAAAAATAAGTTCTACGTGAAGCTGTCGAAGAGCGACTTCGCCCTGAAGAAGGTGCAGTTTCTTGGGCACATGGTGAGTGCCGAGGGCGTACACGTGGACCCGCGGAAGATCGAAGCCGTTAAAAAGTGGAAAGTTCCGGAGAACGTGAAGGAGTTACAGCAGTTCCTCGGCTTCGCCAACTACTACAACAGGTTTGTGCCGCAGTACGCTAAGATAGCAGCGCCACTGACCGACCTACTGAAAAAGGATACGCCCTTCAAATGGGATACTCCTCATCAGCAAGCCATGGAGCAGCTACAGACAGCACTGACCACAGCACCAGTACTCATCCTACCGGATCCAGACAAGGACTACGTAGTTGAAGCAGATGCTAGTGACCAGGCAGTCGGAGCAGTACTGATGCAGGATCACGGGAACGGTTTACAGCCTATCGCCTACCTCAGTAAGAAGTTACACGGAGCAGAACTGAACTACCCCATTCACGACAAGGAAGCCTTAGCTATAGTCGTAGCCTTCAAGGCGTGGAGGTGTTACCTAGAGGGAGCCAAGACCACAGTCTACACTGACCACTGCAGTCTTAAGTACCTGAAGTCGCAGCCGACGCTCTCACGACGACAGGTGCGGTGGGTGGATTTCTTGGAAACTCACTTCCACTACGACATCGTCTACAAACCCGGGCTCCACAACAAAGCTGACGCGTTGAGCCGCCCCGGTCATGTAGCAGGCATCCAGCTCGACGAGATGAACCCTCTGCTCAAGGGTCTATTCCAACATGGGTACTCCGTGGATGGCGAGATCGCAACGGCAGAGAAACAGAAGCTGTTACAGTGGGAGAAAGACTTAGCTGTAAGGAAGGGTTAAGGAAAAATTTGGGTACCGAATTACGCCCCGCTACGGCAGATCCTATTAGAGGAATTTCATGACGTACCTTACGCGGGACATTTCGGGAGCAACAAGACGTTAGCGGGAATAGCGAAGTATTACTACTGGCCCCGGATGGCAGCAGACGTGCAGCAGTTCGTCACCTCATGCGACACGTGCCAGCGGATGAAGAGTAGCAAGCAGAAGAAAGCAGGGTTACTTCAACCTCTACCCGTACCGGAGCAGCCATGGCAGGTCGTTAGCCTCGACTTCATCACAGGACTTCCCTCGACCTCACGGGGACACGATTCCATCCTCGTAGTAATCGATAAGTTCTCCAAAATGGGTCATTTCATACCGACCAACGCCACAGCTACAGCTGAAGCAACTGCTCGCCTCTTCTTCGACCGCATCATCACCATCCACGGCATCCCCGCTACACTTATCTCAGACAGAGACCCAAAATTCACAAGTAAGTTCTGGAAGGAGCTTATGGGACTGCTGGGGACCAAGCTTGCCATGTCTTCAGCATACCATCCCCAGACTGACGGACAGACGGAGCGACTCAATCAGGTGGTTGAACAGTTACTGCGTACAGCTTGCAAAGACGACATCAGCCACTGGGACACACAGTTACCGACCTTAGAGTTCGCTTACAACAACGCCTCACATGCGGCCACAGGGAAAACCCCTTTCTTCCTGTGTTACGGACGGGAACCACTCACACCACAGCAGCCGACCACACCGGCACACGTCCAAGCCGCTCACGACTTCGTCACCACCATGCAGCAGCTATGGGAGAAGACTCAGTGACGTCTCACCACGATGCAGACCTCCCAGAAGCAGTATGTGCGGAGATAACTACTACAACGGGAGCTAGACTACGGGATAGGCACGGGTGCTCGTGTGATCTCTGCGTTCCTTGTTCCTTAGTCGTTTTCCTAGTGCACCGACAGCTTGCTAGTTCACAGGGAGAATTGGCAAGAGTTTCACTAGAGAAAGTTGACAACAATGATACAATGAAGTTGGCAAGGCAAGACTACATCAGAGCTAGCATGCAAGCAGGACGACTGCCAGCGCAGCACGGTCGACCGCGTGCCAGCACGACTTGGTCGACTGCGCTCCAGCAGTGCAGAGTCGCGGTTTGCCAACACTTCAGGTTGACGGCATGCCAACGTCGCAGGTTGACGGCGCGCCAACGTTGCTCCCGCAGGACAGCAGCGCACCTACTTCGCAGGTGCTCGCAGATGATTGGCGTGCAGTGCCTCGTCACCTGCACAGCGCACACACCACATCAACTTCGTGCTGACGACTGCTTCTGATGCACCACGTCGACCTCGGGATACCATCACCGAGGTCGTCCTCGCCAAAATCACCTGGGCGAACGTCGCATGCCTCCGCAGAACCTCGTCACCCAGGTAACCTGGTCGACCGAGCAACCAGGTCGACCAGAGGCTCCTGTGCGTGCCCGTCGACCACCCAGGTCGACGACCACTTCCGGTCGACCTCCCCAGGTCGACCACTGCCTCTGGTATGTGCCGTTCGACCTACCAAGTCGACGACCACCTCCAGTTGACCTTCCCAGGTCGACCACTACCCCCTGGTCGACCAGCTCCAAGTCGACGTCACTCCAGGTCGACCAGAAGGTCTGGTCGACTTCCCAGGTCGACCAGAAGGGCTGGTCGACTTCCCAGGTCGACCACCCGAAGTTGGCGCCCTCCCGAAGTCGGCGCCCATGCAGTGGCTCCCCGTGCAGATCGACCAACCTCGTCGGCCAACTCGCCCGACCACGAAGTCGGCACCGCCCAAGCGAGGACGGGGCCAACATACAACTCCCGTTGAAAGTATCCCGATCGCCAGCGACGAGATCACTCAGTAGCAGTCGGAGATCAGGTGCTTCTCGACACGCGCAACTTGAACCTGTCTCACCTACCATCCAAACTCCGGCCTCGCTTCTGTGGTCCTTTTCTCGTGGAGGCACAGGTGACACCAGTTACATTCCGCTTGCGCTTACCAGATACGTGGAAGCTTCACAATGCTTTCCATGTTCAGCTACTAAAGCCCTACAAGGATCCCAACCACCAGTTTCGGGGACGGCAGCTACCGCCACCTCCACCTGTTCTTGTGCAGGATGAACCCGAGTACGAGATCGAGCGCGTTCTCACTCATCGGCGCCGCGGCGGCAAGACCCTCGAGTTCCTGATACGCTGGAAGGGATACGACCCCACTGAGGACAGTTGGGTTGCAGAAGCTGATATGGGCAACGCACGCCGTGCTCTCAAGGACTATCTTATCAAGCAGGGTGTATCTCACGCCACCCAGCTTTGAGGGGGGGACGTGTGAGAGTACGACGGCTTATGCCAGCTATGCATGCTTGCCTTTACTTTATTATGCTACTTCTAGCTTAGGTTTATTTAATGCTGCATGAATTGCTTGATTTCCTAGGCTAGGTGCTTTCCTATATTTTATTATAGTTATAGCACCGAGCTAGGTTGCGTACACCGAATTCAGGGCTATTCGGTTGCCACCAAATTGCCTTCTACCGAATTCGGGAAGGGTCTGTTCGGGACGCTTCGCGACCCCCAGAACCTTCGCGTAACACCTGGTTACTGCCCCTTGTGTCGAGCCTATATATAGCCTCGTGTTGTACCCAGGTGATCATTCAATTCGATTCAATTCAAACTCTCTTTTCTGAGCTCGATCCTAGATCCTCACAGTTTAGTATAATGAACTAATTAAAAAAAAAAGGCCATCCAATGCGAATGGCCAGCCAATATGATGCATTGATCAGTTGGGTCGTTGTGGCATACGTGGGGAGCGTATCAGGCAGAGTTGAAATGCTCAAATCTTGAGAACTATTGCGGATTCATACATCGAAGAAGGCTCTAAACATACAAAAACGCATGACAAAGAAGTAGAAAGTAGTCTACTCTAATGAACTAACCTAAAACAAAGGGCATCCCATGCGTATGGCCAAACAATGTGATGCATTAATCAGTTGGGTCGGTGTGCGCATACGAGGGAACGTACCAGGCAGAGTTGAGATGCTCATATCTTGCAAAATGTAGGGAATGAAACAGAAACGCATGACGAAGAAGAAAAAAATTGTCTATTCTAATGAACTAACTTACATCAAAGGGTATCCAATGTGTATGGCCAGCCAAAGTGATGCATTGATCAGTTGGGTCGGTATGCGCATACGTAGGGAGCGTACCAGGCAGAGTTGAAACGCTCATATCTTGTAAAATGTATTTAATGAAACAGAAACGCATGATGAGGAAGTAGAAAATATTCTACTCTAATGAAAGGCTTTCCAATGCGTATGGCCAGCCAATGTGATGCATTGATCAGTTGGGTCGGTTTGCACATACGTGGGGAGCATACTAGGCAGAGTTGAAACACTCATATCTTGCAAAACATATGGAATGAAACAAAAACGCATGACGTGAAAGTAAAAAATAGTATACTCTAATTATAAAACCTTAAGGAAAGGGCATCCAATGCGAATTGCCAGCCAAAGTGATGCATTGATCAGTTGGGTCAGTATGTGCATACGTGGGGAGCGTACCAGACATAGTTTAAATGCTCATATCTTACAAAATGTTATGGAATGAAACAGAAACGCATGATGGGGAAGTAGAAAATAGTATACTCTGAAGAACTAACCTAAAAGAAAGGGAATTCCATGCATATGGCCAGCCAAAGTGATGCATCAATCAGTTGGGACGGTATGCGCATACGTGGGGAGCGTATTAGGCAGAGTTCAAACGCTCACTTCTTGCGAAATTTATGGAATGAAAAAGAAACGCATGATGAGGAAGTAGAAAATAGTCTACTATAATGAACTAACATAAACGAAAGGGCGTCCAATGCGTATGGTCAGCCAATGTGATGCATTCACCAGTTGGGTCGGTCTGCGCATACGTGGGGAGCGTACCAAGCAGAGTTGAAACGCTCAAATATTGCAAAATCTATGGAACGAAACAAAATCTCATGACAAGGAAGTAAGAAATAGTATACTCTAAAGAATTAACATGAAGAAATGGGTGTCTTATGCGTATGGCCAGCCAAAGTGATGCATTGATCAGTTGGGTTGGTGTGCGCATACGTGGGGGCGTATGAGGCAGAGTTGAGACGCTCATATCTTGCAAAATGTTTGGAAAGAAACATAAACGCTTTGAGGAAGTAGAAAATAGTCTACTCTAATGATCTAACCTAACACAAGGGCATACAATGCGTATGGCCAGCCAAAGTGATGCATTGATCAGTTGGGTCGGTGTGCGCATGTGTGGGGAGTGTACCACGCAGGGTTGTAACGTTCAGATCTTGCAAAATGTATGGAATGAAACGAAAACACATGAGGAGAAAGTAGAAAATAGTCTACTCTAATGAACTAACCGAAAATAAAGGGCATCCTATGCGTATGGCTAGCCAAAGTGATGCATTGATTAGTTGGGTCGGTATGCGCATATGTGGAGAGCGTACTAGGCAAAGTTGAAACTATCATATCTTGCAAAATGTATGGAATGAAACAAAAACGAACGACGAGGAAGTAGAGAAGAGTCTTTCCTAATGAAGCGACTTAAAAGAAAGGGCATACAATGCGTATGGCCAGCCAATGTGATGCATTGATCAGTTGGGTCGGCATGTGCATACGTGGGGAGCGTACCAGGCAGAGTTGAAACGCTCATATTTTGCAAAATGTATGGAATGAAACAAAAAATCATGAAGAGGAAGTAGAGAATAGTCTCTTCTAATGAACTAACCTAAAACAAAGGGCATCCCATACGTATGGCCAGCCAATGTGATGCATTGATCAGTTGGATCGGTATGTGCATACGTGTGGAGCGTATCAGGCAGAGTTGAAATGCTCATATCTTGCAAAATGTATAGAATGAAACAGAAACGCATGTCGAGGAAGTAGAGACTAGTCTATTTTAATCAACTAACCTAAAAGAAAGGTCATCCTTTGTGTTTGGCCAGCATTGATCAGTTGCTTCGGTATACGAATACGTGGGGAGTGTAGCAGGCAGAGTTGAAACGCTCATATCTTGCAAAATGTATGGAACAAATCAGAAACGCATGACGAGGAAGTAGAGAATTGTCTATTCTGAGCCAACCTAAAAGAAAGGGCATATAATGCGTATGGCCAGCCAAAGTGATGCATTGACCAGTTGGGTCGGCATGCGCATACGTGGGGAGAGTACCAGGCAGAGTTAAAACGTTCATAGCTTTCAAAATGTATGGAATGAAACAGAAATGCATGACGAGGAAGTAGAGAATAGTCTATTCTAATGAAATGATCTAAATGAAAGGGCATCCAATACGAATGGCCAGCCAATGTGATGCATCGATCAGTTGGGTCGGTATATGAATACATGGGGAGTGTAGCAGGCAGAGTTGAAACGCTCATATCTAGCAAAATGTATGGAACAAAACTGAAACGCATGATGAGAAAGTATAGAATATTCTACTGTAATGAAATAACCTAAACGAAAGGGCATCCAATGTGTATGGCTAGCCAATGTGATGCATTGATCGGTTGGATTGGTATGCGCATATGTGGGGAGCGTACAAGGAAGAGTTGAAACGCTCATATCTTGCAGAATATATGGAATGAAAAACAAATGCATGAGGAGGAAGTAGAGATTAGTCTATTCTAATGAACTAATTTAAAATAAAGGGCATCCAATGCGTATCGCCAGCCAATGTGATGCATTGATCAGCTCGGTCGGTATGAGCATACGTGGGGAGAGTACCAGGCAGAGTTGAAATGCTCATATCTTGCAAAATGTATGGAACAAAACTGAAAC